GGCTCTGGACAAAACTTGGTAGACAGACTCAACATGGCTAACTGTGAATCCTGGTGGGGTTTCAGGGTGATTGCCCTGGGAATCTGGGAGTTGTAGTTCTCCCTTATGTAGAGAGCACTGAACCCAACTGATGACAGATCTGGACCAAACGTGGCACACAGAACCAACATGGCCAACTGTGAATACAGATGGTGTTTGGAGTGATAGCCCTTGGAATCTGGGAACTGTGGTTCACTATTATCCAGATAGCTCTGCAGGCAGATGATGACGTATCCAGACCAAACTTGGCACACAGACCCAACATTCTGGGAGTTGTAGTTCATCCACACCAAACTGATAATACCTAGCATCCAAACAATGCCTTTTCTAATAATCTAGGCATTGCTGGGTCCCCAAGCTAGTCTATAATAAAAGTCAGTTTGTTTATGGGCAATGTATTTCCAAGACAGCTCCTACATCCATAGAGCACTGTGACTCCCAACAGATCTGGACCTAACCAGGTACAACATGACCAACAGAACATTCTGGAGGGGTTTGCGAGGACTGACCCACCATGGTGGGGGTCACAGTTCACCTTGCATCAAGAAACTACACTAAATCCCGCAGGTGATGGATCTGCACCACGCTTGGCACACAGAACCCCCATGATCAACAGAACATACTGGAGTGATTTGAGAGAAACTTTGAATTTTGGGGGTTATAGTTCACCCGCACCCACTGTGTAGCATCTGGATAGCACTTGGCACACCTATCCAACATGGCCAACAGAAAATACTGGAGGCTTTTTTTGGGGGTTGGGGGGGATTGACCATAGAATTTGGGACTTATAGTCATCCACATCCAGAGAGGATTCTGAACACAACCTAAGATGAATTTCAATGAAACTTCTGGAATACTGTGTCCAATTCTGGGCACCACAATTGGAGATGTTGACAAGCTGGAATGTTTCCAGAGGAGAGCGACTAAAATGATCAAGTGTCTGAGAAAAAGCCCTATGAGGAGCGGCTTAAAGAGCTGGGCATGTTTAGCCTGAAGAAGAGAAGGCTGAGAGGAGACATGATAGCCATGTATAAATAACTGAGGGGAAGTCATAGAGAGGAGGGAGCAAGCTTGTTTTCTGCTGCCCTGGAGACTAGGACACGGAACAATGGCTTCAGAGTACAAGATTCCATCTGAACATGAGGAAGAACTTCCTGACTGTGAGAGCTGTTCAGCAGTGGAACTCTCTGCCCTGGAGTGTGGTGGAGGCTCTTTCTTTGGAGGCTTTTAAACAGAGGCTGGATGGCCATCTGTCGGGGATACTTTGAATGCAATTTTCCTGCTTCTTGGCAGGGGGTTGGACTGGATGGCCTGTGAGGTCTCTTCCAACTCTTATGATTCTATGATTCATCAGAGGTCCTTCACCTCATGGGAATGATGGAATCTGTTTTAGCAGTTCCTGAACCCAGTTAGAAATCCTGATTCTTCACTTTTAAGCTGTACATGATGCAATACTTTTGTACCTTAGAGATTGTCTTTCCCTCCTATATGCCTACCTGCTCTTTTAGATTTTTGTGTATTTGTTACTGAGCATTCATTTCTTAAGAGCATTGAGGTCTCTAAACGCACATCTTCTCTGGAGGGCACTTGCCTTTAAGGGAAAGTATTCTGTCTTGTGTAAATGTGGGTGGAGCTCTTCTTGCCATTTCATTTTATTTATTCATTTAAAAAATATGATATACAGTATGACACCTGTATCCAAGTACCTACCTGCATCTGACAAAACATGTAATCTATAGGAATTATCTAGGTCCTACTAGGTGACCCTATGGCAACTTCCTGTGGAAGTCATTCATTTCAGTAGGATCCTACTATTATTTGCAATTTCCTCTGTAGCTAGTTTCTTGTTTTCACTACAAATTCAATTGAAGCAGATATGGGGGACATGCTATATATGAATATATGTATATATATAGATATGAAATTTTGCCAAAAAGGATGCCATGATAGGGTTACTTTGGTATCACCATAAATTGGAAATGACTTTAAGGTAAACAACAACAACAACAATTAATGAGAGGCCTTCAAGGCAAGTGTAATCAACAATGCTATCCAGACCGTGCAAGCTATGGTTTCCTTGATTTAATCTATACATTTTTCATATGCTCTTTTTCTTTTTCTACTGTCTCCACTTTGCCAACCATAATTCTCTTTTCTCATGTGTAATGATGTGTTCAAATTATGATATGTCTTTGATTATATTTTATTCTATGAAGGGTTCAGGCTTGATTTGTCTAGGAAGAATTGTGATTTTAAATTACGTGTTGTTTTATTTTGTTTTATTTTTATATTTGTTCAAGGCATCAAATTGTGCCTTTGTTGTAAGCCGCCCTGAGTCCCCTTCAGAATGGGGGACACCTGGCTTGAGAGCAGTTCTGATCCAGAGTGTCTACAGTGCATAGATGTACAAAAGGAGCTGTACCACCCAATATTATATGCAGATTTCCTCTTCAAACTGTCACCTTTTGTGCCACATCACAATTTTTAAAAAAACTATTCTCAGTTACAAATTCAGTTTGTTATCACTATGAGGCTATTTTTCTCTTTCTCATTGGATTAAGAAATATAGACAATTCCTTTTATCTTGTAGCAGTACAGCACAGTCAACACACCAAACAGTCAACACAAATTTCTAGTCAACAGTACTGGTTCAGGGATTTAGATTTAAGTAATAAAAGCAGAGATGTGAGATGGAAAATTTTCTGCTATAGTTTTCCATGGAGAATTTTTCCAGACTATGGTCATACCTTATATGCATTCAAACACCCACACATCTATCTTTGTTCATAGTTATCAATGCTGTTATGATACCACAAATTAGATTAGATTAGCTAAATATAAGATATAAATTCTAGCTATTATTCTGAGACAAATATTAAGAAACTCTAGTACTCTGATGATTAGACAATCAAATAAATGCACTACATTTTTTTCTTTTTAACTAACTCTCTTGCTTCTCAGTCAGTCCAAAGGACAAGCAGTCACGACAAAAAGTGATAAGTTGCCTCATTTATATTCAATTAAAAACACTCATGTTTTCCGAAGTTTTTGGAATTATTTAATATTGTTTCAGAAACTTGTATATCTTAATGCATATATTTACTAGTTTGCTTTATATTGTATTCCATTTGTCTTTTATATTTCTATCTGAATAATTCTTTTGACAACTGCATTGCAGAGTTTTATGTCTGTATTACTCCTTCCTCTCTGTGTGTACTAGGTTACATCCTTTTGACAGAACTTGCTGGTTTTTGTTGTTAGTTTAATATGTAAAGCACTAGGAACATCAAGGTGCTGTATCAGATATGGTGATGATAATCATTATGCTGTAATGAAACTATAGGATGTGCAATCAGTGACTGAGTGAAGCTGAAGTTACTATCATTATATTTCAGAAAACAAAAGTTTAATTGTTAATATAAGATATAATATAAAAAATTGCATGTAACTTTAAAATAGTGTTCACTCAGGTGTTAAATGTAATAGAATATATACTATCTCTTAACATTTTTGTAAATATTTTATAGTTCTGATTTTTAGAGAGCACATGCTATTGAATTATAGTACTGTATTTATTTATTTATTTATTTATTTATTAGATGCACTTATTAACCACCATTCTCAGCCCTTACGGGCGACTCATGGCGGTGTACAGTACACGTAAAAAGACAGTTACAAAAGCCAATATCCACAATACACACAATACAACAATACAAACTACATAAAAATCCGCTTCGTCTCTTAGTAGAATCGTAGGCCAGTCTCCTCGTCCTTATACCATTCCAATTCTCATTACCGTAATGACATTGCTAGCACTTAATTAAATGCCCTCTCGAACAGCCAGGTCTTAAGGCTTTTTCGAAAGGACATGAGGGAGGGCGCCTGTCTAATGTGTGCCGGGAGAGTGTTCCACAGCCGGGGGGCCACCACCGAGAAGGCCCTCTCTCTCGTCCCCGCCAGCCGTGCCTGTGATGCAGGCGGGATCGAGAGAAGGGCCTCCCCAGACGATCTCAAGGTCCTCGTGGGCTCATAGGCCAAGATGCGGTCAGCAAGGTATTTTGGGCCGGAACCGTTTAGGGCTTTAATTTACTGTAATGCCTTCCTCAAGCCTAGCATCATCATGCCACCATAATGTATAATTTTATCAATAGAAGCCATGTAGAACTTAAAGAGATAATGTGGTCTTTAGACTCTCAAAAAGGAATTGCCATTGAATTTTGTACCTTTAATCAATCAACATTTTTTTAAAAAACCCTAAATTTCTAATAAAGACAAGAAAACTTAAGCTGCAATTGAGTACATGTTTACCTGAAGTAAATCACATTAAAGTTAATTTGATCTAATTCTCAATAGACATACATGGGATTTTATTGTTACTTAGCAGCACCCTAAAATCATAGGATCATGGAATAATTGGAAGAGACCACATGTGCCATCTAGTTCAACCCCCTGCCAAGCAGGAAAAGCACAATCAAAGTATCCCTGACAGATGGCCATTTAGCCTCTGTTTAAGTTTCCAAAGAAGGAGCCTCCACCACACTCCAAGGCAGAGAGTTCCACTGTTGAACAGCTCGTACGGTCAGGAAGTTCTTCCAAATGTTCAAGTGGAATTCTGAACATTAACCCTGAGTCTGCAGGATTAATTACTGAGAGCTGTCACTGAGCACTGTAGGACTGTTTTGTTGTATCTGGACCCCTGTACTAGATATAAATATTGAACAGTCATTTCCATACTTGCTCTAATTTTTTTTATCTGACATTTTTTTCAGATATCTATATGGAATTGTATTTATTACTGATCTGGGAAATTCACCACTACAAAATGTTTGCTGGTTCTTTTTTATTGTGTCTTTAATAGTCAATGTAATTCTCTGGAGGATTGATTTGAGAAATGAACATTATAACCAATCTGTAGCCATTTATTTTTAATTATTGTTTGTTTATTTTTATTTTCCTTACAGAAAAACTTTACAACTCCAATGGACGGGAGTTGAGGCGTGCTCTCTTCTCCTTGAAACAAATATTTCAAGTAAGTAGTTAGTATAAATGCCCAAAAGCATCAGATGCTGACATTGGAAGCTAAACAGAGTCAGTCTTTGCATGGGAAACTGCCCATGAACACTAGGTCCTGAAGGCCAGATTTCAGTAGAAGGAATTGGCAAAATCACCTCTGAGCATAATTTGCCTATGAAATTTATGGGATCACCTTAAGTCGTTTATCCTAATTATGTAGTTATGTCTACAATCTCATTCCCAAGACAGTTTATCCAAAGCTGTGAAGTATATGTTTCAAACAACATCAAAATATCAAGGGAAAAAATAAAATGCAATTACTGGGGGAACTGGCGTGCTATACTTTCTGAACATACAAATATAACTTCTTGATGTTATTTAACAACTAGTTTTGGATTGTGTGAAAATACTTTTTTTCTGCCACTTAACAGATTCTAGACTGATAGGAGTAAAACTTCCTTTTCAGTGCTAGCTCTAGTCAAAAACATTTGGGTAACATCAATGTTTTAGGCAGAAGTTAACAAAAGGTGCTACAAATCCCAGCATTCTTCCATTACTGACATTGGCCTGATGTCCAGTCCAGCAACATCCTTGTCTTTTAATGACAATTTAGTGACAAGGTGTTAATGACAGTCTTTATCTTCTAAGAAATGCCTCCCCCGGGTGAGAAGAAAGACAAGTAGAGGTTCCCTTGATAGCCTATGAAACCCATCATTGTGTTGTTTTCTTAAGTCCCTCTAGAGCAGAGGAAGCCTGCCAAATTTCAAATAAACATATGCAGATATGTTTATTATTTGGGGTGGGACTGTCTTCCAGGTAATGGCCAGTACCTTGCACTTCTGATTTAAAATGGATTATATCAGTAATATTGCAAAGATGTAATTTTTTAAAATAGGTGTGTTCCTAGATGGCCCTTAGTTTAGACTACAAGTATATCTTAGCTTCCTGGTCCCTGTTGTATTGTCCCTTTCTGATCGCCATCCTATTGTCCCTCCATCGTATTATCTTTTGTCTTCATCTTTGTCACCTCTAGTTTTTATTGTTTTAATTAATGTTCTATTTATTGTCTTAATTGTTGTTACATTGCTTTGTTATATTTAATGGCATCAAATTGTGCCAAATGTAAGCCGTCCTGAGTCCCCCTTCGGGGGTTGAAAAGGACAGGGTAGAAATCCTGAAAATAAATAAATAAATAAAATCCCCTCAAGGGACTGAAGGGGGTGACCAGAACAATGGCTTACCTCAGTCAGTACACTCCAGTTCAGTCTTGTCGCTAGGTATAGACCTCTCATCAAACTCAGAAGCCAATGAAGTTGACCCTCACTCACGACCAACACGTCAGGGCTTTCGCTGACCAGATGGTCCGCATGGCAAACATCTTGGGTCTTGAAATTAAGCAGACGTGCAAGCCAGTGGCTGATCCAGTCTTCAAAAGAGTGCAGGCCGAGGCTCCCCCAACGACCCTCTTGCTTTTTCTGCCTTATCTTCTCAACATCATACAAGCCTCATGGAAGACTCCTTCCTCCATACCACCCACTTCCAAATGTAGAAGCATGGTACCGTACAGATGATGAAGGACTTGAGTGGTTTAAACACCACCGACCTGAACTCTGTCATAATAAAATCTGCCCAGTGCTCAGGCAAGCAGTCAAACACCCATTCAGACTGAGAAGGCAAACGTTTAGATGCCATGGGCTGAAAGCTCTACTCTGGAGCCCTCCTACTCTCCAGAATTGCTATGGGTGCCTACCAGCAGATACTTTGAGAGAAAGTTCAACCTTTCCGTGCCAAGATCTCCAACAAGGATTGAGCAGTCCTCACAAAGCTTCAGCAAGAAGCAAATTCTCTGGCCCATCACCAAATACAGATGGTCAAGCACACAGAGAACACAGTGGGCAAAAGGATCACCCACACCATAGCAATCCAGCACCATGTTTGGCTCCATTCCTCTGGCCTCTCTACTTCATCCAGACAGATCATCAAGGACCTACCATTTTGACACTCTCAGCCTCTTCAATACATGTACCGATGACAAACTGAATCAGGACATTAAGATCCTAGTAGCCACATGTGGTGTGCAACAGCAATTGCACACTCAAAAGACCCGCTGGTACCAGCACCGCTTTCATCATTATAGCCACCAACCCTTTGGGTACCAAGGCTACCAATTAAACTACAGGCCCACCTCCACCATCATCTCCAGATCATCGGTCTTTTTACACCCTTCTGCCCACTCCGCTGACCAGCAGCACCCAGTTCGGCAACTGCCTCTCCCATTCTGCTCATGCCTGGGAAGCTATCACCTCCAATGCATGGGTACTAAGGCTATGCCTTAAAATTCAAAGACCTACCACCAACAGATCATGTCCTCGACACCAAACCCTCTCCAGAGATCCTTAAGAAGGTCAACATTTTATTCAAAAGGGCCATTCAGCCTATCCCCTAAGAGTTGAACATACTAGCCTTCTTCTTGAGATACCCTCCAAAAAGAAGAGGTGGGCTTTGCCCAATCCTCGATCTCAGAAACCTGAACTTTTATATACAACTGACAAAGTTCAAAATGGTCACGGTATCATCAATCTTCCCTCTTCTGCACTGAGGAGACTGGCTCACATCCATTGACCTCCGGGATGTCTACTTCCATTTAGCCGTCAGAGTCTCTCACAGACACTTCCTTTCCTTCAGAATCCTACAAAAGACTTACCAATTCACTGTACTCCCCATTGGCCACGTCACTACTCCAAGAGTGTTCTCCAAGTGCATGACAGTCATGGTGGCCCACCTCAGAAAACAACGCATCACTCTGTTTCCATATTTGGACAACTGGTTGATAGTGGCCCATTGCCCAGCAACCTTCAAGACCCACGTGAGTTGCACCCTCCAGCTCCTTGACTCCCTCAGCCTCCAACTCAATGTCGAGAAGTCCCAACAACAAAAATAAAGTTCATTGGAGCCCTTTTTAACTCCATCTCGCAGATAGTGTCCCTCCCTAGGGAAAGGTTCGTAGCCCTCTAGGAGATAGCTTGCTGCAACTCTCATTGCAGGGTTTGATCCCGATCAGTCAAGATCCTTCTCGGGCACAAAGCACCTACAGTCTTCATCATGCCATTTGTCAGGCTCATACTCAGATGGTCGCAAAGGTGGTTTATTGACCACTTCAACCCATCTTGGCACCACAACTCAAGATTCCTGATGATCCTGAGGCCAATCCTCAAATCCCTGAACTGGTTGACAATTTAGGCCAATGTTTTGTGGGCATTCCCTTTCACTCGCAACAGCCCTCGGTCACAGTAATGACTGACTCATCAACCTTTGCTTGGGGAGCTCACACCAATGACCTCACCATCCAGGATCTCTTATCCAAGGGCAGGAAACTTCACCATATCAATTACTTGGAGCTCCTAGCAATCTTCAAAGCTCTCAGAGCATTTGCTCCCCTCATCTTCCACAAGACTGTTCAAATCTTCACAGACAGAACAATACTATATCAAGAAACAGAGCAGAACGGGATCAAGAAAACTCCTGAAACTATCTCTCCATCTCTGACAGTGGTGTATTGACTGCTCAGTAACCATCATGGCACTACATCTCCCAGGAGACCCAAACAGACCTGCAGACACACTCGGCAGGACAAAGGCAACATCCCACGAGCAGAAACTCGACCCAGGGGAATTCCACAGTCTCTTCAATGAGTGGAGTTAGCCAGACATAGATCTGTTTGCTTCCCTACAAAATGCACAACTTCCCCGGTACAAAGTACGTCTCCCTCCTGATGCAACCCTGGGGTGTCTCGAAGACACCTTCCTCCTTCACTGGTTGTTAGCGTACCTGTTTCCACCAATCCTGCTGTTGCATCTGTCAAGTAGGAAAATAAGGTACCACCTTGTGTGGGAGGTTAAATTAACTAATTTATGAGGCCATAAAGAAAACTCCGGGGAATGTGGAATGCGGAAGAACTTCATCGGTGTCACTGATGGATGATGAAAGCAGCAGCTCCCCTGGCGGCCAGAAAAAAGTTAAATAGCCTCTGTGTATTGTCTGTATTCGTTGTCTGTCAAACTGGCATTGAATGTTTGCCATATATTTGTATACTGTAATCTGCCCTGAGTCCCCTGCGGGGTGAGAAGGGCAGAATATAAAAACTGCAAATAAATAAATAAATAAATAAATAAATAAATCTCGAGGCAAACACCTACCTTCAGTGCCCCACCTCTTCACCAGGGAGCAGGGGTTGCTACTCCACGCAGACATCCACTCTCTCCATCTCTCAGCATGGAGAATCAAAATCTAAACCAGCCTGCCCTACAGTCCATCTTGAGAACAGCATACAAACCAGCAACGGCGAAGGCATATGCATACAAGCTAACTCGCTTTCGAGCCTTTCTTTGGTCCTGTGCCAGGATTCCAACTCTCCCTTTGGTATCAATGGTAATGGAATTTCTACTTACCTTAGCGAAGCACAACCTCACCCTTGCCTCCATAAAATCGTACTTGGCAGCAATCTCTTGGTCCATGCAACAATAGGACCACCCTTCCTTCTTTGCAGATCACCTCATCAAAACCTTTTTGAGGGGATATACAAACCTGCATCCACCTGTCCAGCTGCCCACCCCGGGATGGAGTCTCAAGCTCATCCTCTCTCAACTCTCCAATCCATCCTTCGAGCCTCTTACCACAACAGACCTCCACCTCCTGTGCTAGAAAGTGACCTTCCTCATGGCAATCACCTTGGCCCGCCGCCCGTTTGAAGTGGCAGCACTTTGAGTCGATGAACCTTACCTGCTCTTCCATTGGGACCGAGCTGTCCTTCACACCAATATCACCTTCCTCCTCTCCCAAAGGTGGTGTCTGCATTCCATGTCAACCAGGACATAATTCTTCCCACCTTCTTCCAAAACCCTACCTCACCACTGGAAAAACAGCTACACCTCTTAGATGTCAGAAGAGCCCTGCTGTTCTACAGAGACCGGACTCGCTCAACCAGAAAGTCCCTAAGACTGTTTGCCTTGTATGCTG